CTCCAATTGTTGCCATGTGGGTATCTTCACAGCGTTGCTTTAAGACATGCCAGCTGGCTTCCCCCAGAGTGAGTGATCTGAGAGAGAGCAAAACTGCAATATCTTCTATAACCTAATCTCAGAAGTGACATACCAAAACTTCTGGCATATTCTATTGATGACACAGACCAATTCTGGTAGAGTGTGGGAGGGGATCACACAAGGGTATGAGGACCAGGAGGTGAGGATCATTGGTGGCCATCTTGAAGTCTGGCTACCACTTTGTGTGGGTATGTAATTTCACCTATAATGACTTTGGTTCAAAGATCTCTCCTCACCCCTCACCCCTGCATAGTACACACAGTATACTGGGCTGGATCAACTGTTGCCATCCTGGCCTCTCCTCTTCCTCCTTTCCCCTCCCATTCCAACCTTCAGTTATGAGTTGCAGCATGGCATGTACTCTCATCCTTAGGCCTCTGTGCATTCTGCATCCACACCTCCTTCTTTACCTAATTTCCATCCAGGTATCAGCTTCTCTTAAAAACCTCTCCTGAACCCCTGGTCTGGATTAGGTACCCCTCTTAAGTGTTCTCATGGCACCCCTTTCTTCCTCTGCCAAATACTTTAACATACAATCTTATAATTATGTGTTGATGTGTCTGTCTCTGCTTCCAGACTGTCGGCTTCTTAAACATGGGGGCTGATGGCTTATTAATGAACTTAGTGGAGTGCCAGTTCATACTACGTGATCAACAACTATTGTCAAATGAATAAATGAACACACTATAATAAATGAACACACTCTGTGCCTCAGGGATCTGTGAGCCACGAGAGCTTGACTGGTGAGGCTCTTTTTTTCACCATTGCTGCCACTGCCACAACCATCTTCTGCATCATCATTGTCACCACCACCACCATCAGTACAGTTTTGTTGTTGATCTCCCCAGCAGACTTCCACCTAGCTAGAAATCTGCTGTGTGAGCTCTTCCAGATCCAAAGCGTGCCAGCCAGCATTGCAATTGAGTTTTGTTTTCATTATGCAGGCTTCCTGGGAAGTTTCAAATTAATTTTAATCCTCTCCTCACGTTTAAGGCCTCTAAAAAGGGCTGTGTTCCCACCTTCCTTGGTAAACTGGGGCCTATCCCATTTCCCTAGGACAGCCTTCAGCCTGGCGAGGGCTGCGTGCCCCCACATCCCCTGTGCTTCTCTGTGCCAGGCCAGAGGGCTTCCAGACTTCCTAGCTGTGGGCAGCTCTCCATCTGGGCACTGGGAAAGCATGCCTAGTCCACAGCAGCCAGGTCAACGCCCACTTGGGTCTGATGGACCTCAGATTTTAAAACTGACCCCACAACACACATTGTTTTATTATTTGCTTTCACCCTTGTTCAAAGTAGACAATATGAAAACAGTTATTCTGCCGAGCTTTAAAACAATTTTTTTTATAGTCCCCCTGGAATGTTTCTTCTGAAGCTGACTCTATGGTACTGACAAATTTGTAAAGTACACTTTTTCTGCTTTCTTGACACAGATTTCCATTTTCCTGCCTAGAACCACTTACAAGTTATTCACAGACCCACTCAGGAAAATGAATATGGGTAAAAGGTAGCTACTCAAATAACCTTGACCATTTACGTAGCACCTACTGTGTTCCAGGCTTGGTGTTAAGCATTTTTATGTACTTGGTCTCAGCGGAACCACAGTACAACCCTCTGCAGCAGATACTATTGCCCCCGTTTTGTAGAGGTTCAGAGAGCATAAGTAGTTTGCTCAAGGTCACTGAGCTGCCATGTGGTAGTGCTCAGATGGGGTCTTTTCTGATTCTAAAGCTCCCTCTTGTTGCCACCCCAGCTCTCCCTTCCTCAGCTTCTTCCCACTATCAAGCTGCACAAATGTCTTGGTTGCCTGGAGATTAATTTTTTCACTGAAGTTGGAGTGTTCAGTGATTTGAGAAGTTCTGGCAGGTGGGTGCAATGAGATAGTGTGCCCATCCGCTGCTGGGCTTTTAAAGGGAGAGGCGAGCCAAGCAGATCAACTGTGTTCAGATTAGGGCCCAGCCTTCGAAGCCAGGCCATGCGAAGGAACTTTTGGTGACGGGGGGCGGGGGGGGGGGGGGGGGGGGGGGGGACGTAGTGATGGCACTACCCAGAGATAAGTCCTGCAGAGGAGGGAGGAATCTGCCTCCAGGCTTCTGCTCCTGCGGGAGCCATTCGATGGACCCATCCATTGGGGGCCTCTATCTGTATTTTTGCCCCCAACAATATTTCTAGTATCCAGAGACTAGTAGGTGCTAGGCAGGGATAGATGTCCTACTGGCTGATGCTGCCAACTATAAACTGTGGGATTCCTCAGTTTCCCCAATCAGCAGCCTTTTTTATGAATAGGAAGAGATTTGGTGGTCTCTCCAGGTAGCCATTGCCGGATTCCCACTGTCAGAGGAACACATAAGAGTCCTAGATTAATCTCAGGCTTTGGCCTCCCATGTGGCAGCTGAGCCATCAGGCTGGCTGTGAAATGCCTTATTTTATTTTCTGCCTAACATCAGGCTGCAAATGAAAATACCTTTTCAACCCTAGTATTATTACCCCTATGGATGGCACCTTTAATGTGTGCTATTCATTGTTATAATGGCCGCACCTGTGTAGCGCGCGCACACTGGCACTGCAGCAGCTGTGGACTGTAATTGCTAAACATTATTTTCTGTTTCTCCCTGAAAGCTTTTGTGCGTGTGTGTGTGTATCTATGTCCGTGTGTTTGTTTCATCTGTAACGACTCTGGTCCAAAGATCCCCCCACTGTTTTTAAACATAAGACTAAATGTAAATACGTTTATTTCTAAATGCATGTTTCAGGGCAAGTCAGATACAACACCTCCCTTCCCCCAACCCACACACACTGTCAGTAATAAGACTTCAGAGAGCGACTTCGGAGCGTGTGGTCTGTGGAAAGGTTCACGCTATCGCCGCTGCTGGGAGCAGTGGTCTTTATGCGCCTTGGCACGCAGGCTCTGCCGTGATTAATGCATTTGTTCCTTGATATTCAGCCCCTGGGTGTCTGCAGGACAGTGAATCAATTTAGCACTTGCAGGCCCAGATTATCTCCAGCACCAAAGGCATTTCTGCACCAGGGACTTCCCCATTCAAACAAGAAGATTTCTAAGAAGAACATGTTCTTTTTCTATTTCCCATTTCGTTCTCTTTGTGCTTTTCTGTGCAGTCACTCAAGCCACCCCCACCCCCACCCGCGCCATGCGATGCTGCATCCGCTGGAAGACTGCTAGTCGGCCTTTGAGGTTGTGCTTTTCAAGTCAGCACTGCAGTTAGAAATTTGAGATTTATATGGAGGCAGGCGGCGGCTGAGTCCCTCTGTCTCTCTGTGCACCATCCTACCCTTCCCCAGGGGACCTGTCGTGATACGCAACCTGATCACTGGCCTCGCAGGTGATATTTGATGTCGTTATCTCAGCGAGTGTCTGGCGGACGACAAAAAGGACCGTCTGCCAGTTGGTCAAAGAAATTTGCCTTCCCTCCTTCCCTTGCACTCACCTCATTCACAAAGATGCGGAGGAATTTGCTGCCGCCACCAGCCAGAGGATGAGTGTAGAAGAAATAGGCGGCGTACAAGCACAGAGCTGGCACTGTTGGATGGGGTGATGGGGCTCCTGGCGGTCTTCCCCAAGGGTTAGGGAATAGAGGGCGGTCCGCTAGTAGCGTTGGAGACGCGCTGCGATGAGTGAGAATGGGCCTCCCCACAGGTTTTTCCCCTGGTGTTAATAGGGGCAAGGTTTATGCAGGTGGGCAGGGTTGTCAATCGCCGTCAACCACGTCCTCATGGTAATAAGCAGTTTCTCAGGGAAATGGCGGCGCCTTCCCTTAACTCTTCTGCCGGGTCCTGAATGAAGAGGATGTTGGGCTTACCGTGGAAGCCCACACGTTTAGAGGGCGGAGACGAGCAGGAACGCGGTCCATTACGTCGTACTCACTCATACCAAGAAATACACTTTCTAGACTTGCACACGACGTTAGAGACTAAAATATCAGAAAGACGACTTCCAGCTTTTTGTTGTGGTGTCGTGTCCTGGTTCAGTGTGCCGGTTCCTTCTTTGCTATTTATTTTTCTTCAGAGGGACAAATACATAGGAGTTCAAATAAACGAACGTGTCCCTCTTACTTGCCTTATTTATTGAAAATATGTTTGCTAGGGAGAATTGACTAATGGGAGAGGGCCCACTAAAAAGGAAAAAGAGACCTAAATATTTTACAACTGAACTGGATATGAGTACTGGCATTTCACTTTTTTATGCTCAAAATATTACTGATGACCCTAAAATATATTGAAAAAATCAAATTCAAAACTATTTAGTTAGGCAAACTTGAACCTAGTTTTGAAAGAGAAATAAGTATTAATAATAAAAAAAAACTAGAGAAAACCTGGTTGAGACTATATCCACTTCACTTCGAGCCCTGTAAGAGTTAAGAAATCTGTGAACAAGATTAAAAAATCTGGTAACTTTGTCAGTGTGATTCATTATTCCTCCTTTGAAGAATCTGCTTAATTGGTGAAATGGGGTTTCTGTTCTATTATGCATATGATTAGTGCTCTTATAGCGACTTTAAAAAAATTTTGTTTTTTTAGTATATCAATGTCGTGCAGGCACAATGACAGAGAAAGGAAGCCAAAGCAATATCCTTTTTTACTAACCCACGTAAATGAGTTTGTGAAAAGGCTGGAGGTCAAGGTTGTGGTGACTGCTTATTGCACTTTTGTCCAGCAGGTGGCAACATTTCCTTAAGAATTTGTAAGAAAACAGTAGCTTCAGAAAATGACTATTTATCTCTGGACACTGTGTTTTGTTCTCTTTTCAAAGGCACAGCACAAAATGCATGGTCCCTCACACTCATACTCCCAGTTTATCGTCACCAGATTAACAGGAAGAATATTGTTTCTCTCTCACACAAATTTAAATGGTCAAGATTTTTAGGCTGCAATGAATTTATGCTGGAATGAATTTATGTAGCTGCTAATTTTAGATGGTTAGCCTTTCTACTCCACCTCATGCCATGCCTCAAAAGGGGGTGTTTTTTAGTGGGGGGGCATCTGTGTGAAGAGCCACTTACGTTTATAGCAATTAAATCAGTTGCCCGCTCATGTTTCTTACTTTCTGATAAACCCCGGTGAATCTCAAGATAATTCTTCACCATGATCACTGTCTGCTCCATTTGAGTGCTCGCTTGTCTCCTAATGTTTGTTCATGCTGTAGAGATTCGGACCAAGAAGAAAGAGAAGTGAAGACCCTTGTTCGGGCTGAGGTAGTAAAATAAAACAAGGGAACAGGTTGTCCAGATACAAACATTCAGAATCCTGCATGCAGTCCAATGTTTCATAGCAAGTTGGGGAAGACTGTTCTGGGAATTGGGAATGTTGATATGTTCTTCTCCATCTCACACTCCCCCATCTTCTTCATTTTTCAATATATATTAATTTTTGGAAAGCGTGGTGGTTGTAAACACACACATCCATACACACAAATGGGGCTCGTTTAAAGTAACTTTGAAAACTGTTATTACTTTTGTTTCTGACCAGCAATATCTATGTGTGACATACTTCTTTCCTGATTAGGAAAGAAAGTTGGAGTTAAATACTATTTAGCTATGGGAATTGCTCCAAGCTATAATAAAAGAAAAAGATGAATACTTTAAAATGTATTTGGAGTGATTCTTTGTGTTGGGTAACCTCATAACCTTGCCTTTCATGTTGGAAGGAGGGACCGGACATTCATTCCCAAGAAACATATCTTACTAGCAAGTCTTACTGTTTTCAGTCTCTCTGCCTCTCTCTCCCTCTCTCTCCCACTCACTGTCTCTCTCTCTCTCTCTGTCACACACACACACACACACACACACACACACACAGAGTTTCCAGTAGGATGTGCAATGCAGCTCCTTACCTCTGGCTCAAGTATCCCCATTGCAATCCATAATTCTCCTTGGCCAGAGAATAGGAAGTGGCTTCTCAAACCTATTCAGATGGCTCCATCTGCTCCACGTGCCTCACACAGGAGCCTTCACTCTTTCTTCCTGCAGCCACCTGCATGGCTGCCTCTCTCTTGGACCTAGGGAGAAGACTTCTCATGCTGAGGATATTCTCTCTCTTCATCCCCTCACCCACAGACCCCTGAGTTCCTCCTCTCTCCGGCTTTGCCTTACCGCATGGCCAGTTATTCCATTCCTGTTTCATTCCTGGATGGAGAGGGAGAGCTCTTCTGATCTGCCCCAGAGGGGCTGCACGTATGGGATGACGCAAACATGAAATGAAGGAGGAGACAAAATGTCCTGCCACATATGCTCATCAATTTGAAAAATTTTAAAAGATAAAAATTTATAGATTATATATAAACATATAATACAGTATGAAAACAATACCACAATACAAAATAGCATTGTTAAAGAACGAAATGTTGTGTTCTTGAAATTAGTAACATCAACTTTTCCCAAGGCTCAGAATCTCCCATCTATACATGTAGCTTATTTAGACTTTTCCTGAAGCTACTGGACCCAAGTTGTGAATTTGTTCATGCTACACTCCTCTTTCCAAAGACAATATGACCTCTTCATTGTTCTTATCTTGTCACAACCCCTTATCTGCTGGGCAGTGGCAGGGAGGGCAGGGGATCCCCCCTTTTGGTAAAATTCCATTAACCCAGTCTCATGTATTGGTTAGCCTCTGCCTCTTTAGGTCTCTCAGATTTCCCATCCCTGGCTCTGCTTCTCCTCCAGATGGCATGTGACATCCTGGAGGTGAGGTCATCTGTATCCCTACTGTCCTTTGAGACAGAGTGCCTGGCCTTTCCTGTTCCCTGGCTTGGTGACCATGAGGTATGGTTGGTTGCATCCAGCTTTTAGGGGGCTGATGCGCTAGCATGTACCGCTGATTTGGGCAATGTGCCCCTTTCTTTTAAAGCCCCCATCTGCAAGCTTCATTATCCTCACCCAGCCTGAGCTGGTCTCCCTCTGCAGCCTTGCATGAGGCACAAAGTCCCTCCAGAGTCCCTATGCACACCACTGGGAAGAGGGACCTCAGAAGGTCCCTCGCGCCATTTCTGCTCATCTGGCTGTGTGTCCCCTGAGACTGGGGGGAAGGCCACTCCCTGCTACACCTTGGCAATGTGCCACTAGCCCAAAGTTTGCTGGATCTCCCTACCTTTCTGGATATTTCAAAAGCTTTTCCCCACCCTCAGGATAATGAGTGGGCCATGAGAATCTTGATGTTGGAACTTGCTTTCTTGACCTCTCTCAACTCTTCCCACCATCCCCTCCTAGAAAACACAACCTTCAAATTTTTCTTAAAGGCTCAGAATCTTCCATCTATACATCTTCCTCTGTGGCATATCCTCTTTCTACTTTAGGGCAACAAGTATAATGACCTAACAGTTATAAGCAGAAGGAAAATCTATTTACCTTTTGGGAAAATCTCTAAGATCTGAGCCCCTGGGCTTGGTTCCTGATATACTAAAGGAATTTAGAAAATTTGTTTTCTCTCTCTCCCCTCTCTACAAAGTCTGTTTTTCAAACTATTGTGTTTCTCAATTTTGAGTGCCAGAAGCTAAATACAAACTATTTCTCTTTGAATTTCTGTTTGAATAATCCTGATGCTTTCTACTCTACCCCTGCCCTTTGAGAGATACTTCCAAATGACAGAAGATATGTATACAGAAGTGCAGAAAATCACATTAATATTTGTTGCCCCCACATACTAATCTCACTCTTGTCTGTAAAAAAGACAGCCCCCCTGACCTCTATCCCATCCCTTCCCAAGCTTTATACAGAGGAAATTCTACTTCTCCCTTCTGGTAGTCCTGTTGGTGCAAATATCTCAGCTGATTTGTTTGGGGTGGACATTATTGAAGGGTAACTCATGGCAAAATGTGAATTTGGTTTTGGGTTTATTGATTTTTAAAGCTGCTGCCTAACTTACTCTAATTCCCTTACAAATAGTGTCCTATAAATCATTTCCATCTGGTAAATTATTAAATAGTATTTGTGTGTGTGTGTTGGGGGGTGGTGTTGGATGTCGCAAAGAGAAGTCTCTCAAGGAGTCCCATTTCTATATTCATTTGATCTTTAGCTTAGTGCTGGAAATTAGGAAGACATGTGGATGAGTGCCTGCCAGGAGTTAAATACAGCTCAGCACTTTAGTTCTTACCAGTTTGAATGCTATTTAGAAAAATATTTTTGGGGGTCATTCTAAGGGTTAGATAGTCCGAAGAAAAAGCTACGCCTCCTCTTTACTTTTCGGGAAATTCCAGTGGGTGGCATTGGGAGTATCGTGCACCCACTCCAGCCTCCTCCTGGTACTGTGTGGAGGCTGAGTCAGGGAAAGAGCTTCACTGCTAGGAATCCTAAAAGTCACTGAATGATGAAGAAATATCCAAAAATCTCACGCAAAATTTCTGTCCAAAAGGCCCAGATTATCTGTATAATATGGAAAAATGACTACAAGATGTATTGACTTAGGATCATGTCTGCACTTCCACCATCACTGCAAGCAGTGGTTTGCTCAGACTGAGGTCCCAGTTCAGTTCATTACTGTTGGTTACTGGGAGATTATAAACTTGAATTTCAATGGCGTGTGTGAGGCTCAGCCTTAGTCAATATTTACACATAATGATAGTTCTCATCAAGGCATAAGGACTTAGATAGTTATGAAATGATTATACATCACAACTCATCTGTAAACAGGATTTTAATTATCATCGGCAGGAGCAACAACAAACATTTATTGAGGAGCTACCCTGTGCCGTAATTGAATTAATGAATTTGCTAATTGTTTCTTCCCGTTCCTATAAATATTTGCTTAAGTTCAATCTCAGTCAAATCACATAGGTACCAGACCAAGAAACCTTATCATTTAAGAAGATGAACTGTTTTCTTAGAGTATTAAGAGGTTTTTACCTGTGTATGAAAGTGTGACTAAAGTTTTCTCGGCAATACCAGACTGACTGGGCACAATCAGAAGTCTCTGTCTACAATGGTGAATGGCCATATATTAGACTTTCCCAGAACCTCCAGCAGCGGGGTCCCTGGATTCACAGGCCTCCAGTTCCCTGGCAGAGTCTCTGAGTGTCGGGCATGTTTGCCTCGCTTATCCTCTTGCTCCGGTGCCCTGTGGTCTTTCCTTGCCATTAGACTGTTGTGTGTACATTGCATGGCTTTCAACAGCCCCTAAGTAAACATGATTTCTTCTGTCCTGCACTCTTCTCAGGGCACCTTCCCGTGGGCTCTGGGCAGTAACACTGTTCTGCGGCCGAGCGTCTCTCCTTCTCCTCAGCGCCCTCTGCTGGCGTAGATCTGGTTGTCCCTTGGCCGCTGATGGAGTGACTTTCCAAATGTCCAGTTGGATTTTAGGCTCAAAGGTAGAATGTTTTTGTGTTTGCATATTCCTGTAGTGCTTTCAGTATTACAACTCTTTTATTTCACCTTCCCTATTCCATTCAATCCACTCCTACTCCCTACCCATGTGAACCTCTGCCCAGAATCAATTGAGGGATGGGTGGGAAGGCATGCAGGGGCACTGCCCTGAAACACCCATGATTGTTTCTCAGTTCTTACACTTAGCCAGTGTCTCTGAAGCTGATGCATTTAATTGTGGCTCCTATTACTTCTCTGTCAGGAACATTTGGTCCTGCCCAGTTCTCAGGCCAAGAAGTCAAGGGCAACTCTTGTTTCTTGCTTGTTTCCTAGACCAATGGGACAGAATAATTTTCTTTCTTCTTCTTCTTTTTTTTTTTTTTTAAAGATTAGCACCTGAGCTAACAACTGTTGCCAATCTCCTTTTTCCCCCTGCTTTTTCTCCCCCAATTCTCCCAGTACATAGTTGTATATTTTTAGTTGTGGGTCCTCCTAGTTGTGGCATGTGGGACTCCGTCTCAACATGGCCTGATGAGTGGTGCCGTGTTCACGCCCAGGATCCGAACCAGTGAAATCCAGGGCTGCTGAAGGCAGAGCGTGTGAACTTAACCACTCAGCCACGGGGCGAGGCCCCAGGATAATTTTCTGAAATTTCAGTTTTGCTTCCTTCTTGAAGCCATTTCATCCTTCCCATTTCTAATAGAAATCTGAGGTTTGCCCTCTCTCACCTCAAAAGCAGAAACTCTTCCTGATTTTTATAAAAGCCTAAGTTCAGGTGAGATTAGGTATCCCTAGAGAAGGAGGGGAGAATTGGGAGTGGTTTTGAGATCATTGATAGGGGAGGTGAGAGGTCTTCCGCCCTGGATGAGAGGAGGTTGCAGGTTGATGAGTTTCATCAGTAGTGGGGAGCATGTACCCCTAGTGGCAACTGCCCAAGGGAGGACCACTACCCAGATGGATGTCTGCCTGACACACTCATCAGAAGGCAGGGGGCTTCCAGTTTATCAAAGATTTTCTGAGTTGCCATGTATGGCGCAGGAGCAAGGAGCTGCCATTATCCCAAAGGGCTTGGACCTTAGAGAGCCCAGTGATATTCCATGCCAGTGGGGCCTCTTTGAGATTTAACGCTACTTAAGATCCAGGGACCTTTGTGTGGCCTGAGGGTGAGGCCCATAATGACTGAGTCTGACTTTTCCACTCACTGGGGGGCTGGAGCTTAGAATTTGACTTAGGTTGACTTAAAGAAAAAGGAGGAAATGTGCTATTTCTTGCACTCTCTGTCCTAGTGGTTGGTCATGGGCTACACTCTGTCCAGTCTTTGCACCTCTCAGGAGGGGCTGTCAGATATAAAACCACTGCTTCTCCACCTCGATGGGTTAGATCTCATGTTGGGAGCATGCCCAATGAACAACCTTGTGGGACCCTCATGGCATAAGAATTACAGAATATTCAGAATCTATACCCTAGCTTCTTCCTATAGAAGAATTTTTGATTATGATGCAAAGTCTAGGTTAGACTCAAGAAGCAGGCTGAACTTGTTATGTGTGATAGGTCTGCTTAGTGGTTTAGCAGGCTGCAAACAGAAAAGTAGGACATACAGAGAGCAAGAAGCAGAATAAGTGGGTGAACAATGGTTTGGATTGTGAAATCAAGTTAGATTTTCCATTGGATGGCCTGGTTTGGGAGTGAACATTTATTCATTATTCATTAGTACCTACTGATTTTATGCTGCATTCTAATGGCTGCCCACATCACCTTGAACTAAATAGAAATTACTCAATGAGACCTACATCTTTCTATTACCTTAAACTGCCTCTGTGGATGTGGGAACTTAAACACAATGGCGGCAGCTGTCTATTTTCTACCTGGAGGTTTTCTGCACATAATAGATGATGGTTATTGAAAGTATAGGAGGTCTGGGGACCTTTCCTTTGGGAATCTTTAATACCGTAGTCATGAATGAGGAAATCCTAGTGGCACAGCAAGAATTTCTTAATTCCTGTCCACTTCTTTCTATAGTAAGAAAATTTCAGTGACAAGATATGACGGAGAATAGTACATATGTTCTGTAGTACATGCATTTAGGCAGTGTGCCTTCCTCTGTTTTATTTACCCTATTAGGAAGATATGGACTTTCAATGACCACCCCTCCCCCACATCTCAGTAATTGTGATTATCAAATTTATATAACAATAAATAATATATAAATAACATACCAAAATAATAATTCATAATCTTACTCCCTGGTGATCAACTGAACACATGTGCATGGTCGATCTTTTTTCCTTTT